AACTGATGTTGACCCAGTTATAGGTTGTTGTTTTTGCTTTGTATGCACATATGTATTCACCTTTTCTTGTTTACTTATTCGTATCAGCAATAGAACTATTTATCTAAATACTAGTGACACAGTTGTTTGCTTTTGTTTTGCTGCTATTGGCATGTTTCGTATTCTCTCTGCAGTTATCATAAAGCACGCTGACGTACATACATACGTCTATATGCATGTACTAGGGCATTCAATCCCGGGACTCCGGACACATTTCCATGTCCCGAAATCCCGGTATTACAGCTCCGGGATCCCGAGATTTTTACTGATTTATTTACAGAATGAATGAGATGTTGAAAACGAAAAAAAAAACATTTGACATGAAACACGAGAAATACAGAACACCAAAATTTTGATTCAAAGTGAACTTGAAATTTCAGGACCTGCCAGAGTAACTGTACTAGTTCAAAATTGTGTGCAAGAACTGTGTAATAAAGAAAAATCTGGTAGCAATTGAAAACAAAAAGCTTTTAGAGTGTGGCAGAGTTGTTCTTCATTTTACTTTGTTGGTCTTTCTTGGAAAAGGATTTCTGCAAATATGAGTAAATGTTTTGACAAGTAATATAGATATTTTAGAATAAAAATATTTAATCATCCAATTACATACTCTTTTACTAACGGGCATTGTGCTCCCCTAAGAGCAAATGTGGTGACAATGAATCTGTGTGGTTTGAAAAAGGCGAACCTACTGTAGAATGCAAAAAGTTGTGATGAAGTCGAAATCCCGAAAAATCTCGGGATCCCGAGATTAGAATTTTTACATCCCGAAAAATCTCGGGATCCCGAGATTAGAATTTTTACATCCCGAAATCCCGGGATTGTTAAAATTCTTCGGGATTGAATGTCCTAACATGTATATACATATGTATGTACTTTATATGCATATGTTTTTGTGGGTGGGCTTATGTTTAAAAAATTTATTTTTTCCATATATGTAATCAGTTCCAGCAGTTCCAGTTTTAAATAAATTCGAGTGCTTATTTACACTTGCGGTCATCTGCTTAAGTTAAGTGACATTTTCACCAGTATTGGTTATTTTTCTTTTGTTTATTTAATGTTTATAACTTTTTGATGAAAGTCATTACATAACCATCAGCACCACATAAATCCACATTTAATGATTCTTACAAAAATTATAAAAATTTAACAAACTTTAACAATTACACCCAAAAATTTTAAGCTTTTTATTAAACATTTTTAGAAAAATTGTAGGTATGCAGTTTTATAGCCCATTAAATTTTAGTAGGTCAAAGTGCAAATTTAAAGACGCTAGAAAATCATGTTGATTTAAAAAAATTTTTTTGGCTGACGGTGTTGAGCATTGTCAGGAAAAAAAACTATTGAAAATCAACGCGATCTTCTAGCGTCTAAAGGTTGCATTTTAATTTTTATAAAAATTTGTAATACAAAGTTAAAAATTTTAAAGATAGTTGAATTTTTGTAAATTTGTGTAAGAAGTTTGAAATGTGGATTTATGAGGTACTGGTTATGCAATGTGCTAGACTCCATATTTTGGAATTGTAGAAATTATCGATGGTCAAAATTCAAGAAAATTAAGAGAAATATGGGTATTTTTTTTAATTTACCTGATAAAAGATCCCCACAAGCCTAGTCCGACAATAGATTATTATATAGCATTTTAAAGGCATATATATCCCCTTCTCAGATCATATTCAGTCTTTGAAATCGATTCAAAAATAGTATTTCAAAAACTCACAAATCTAAAAAATCCTATTTTCTGACAAATCGGCAGGTCGCGACCTCTAAAGGACCTTTAAAAAATCTATAAAAACAGGCAATAATATTTCTCATGAAAACGAATAAAATTAGGGGGTAGGGTCTTGAAATTTCCAAAAAAAAGGCATTTTCGATGGGCGCCCTAATGTACATACATATGGATGTGTAAAATCACACATATGTACATTACACAAAACACTTTTTTGCTAAGCAAGAAATAAGAACTTATATGCTAGGTATTTTTGTACATACATACATAAATATAACGGCACACAAAATAAAAGAATTATGATATTTTGACCGGTTTTGGCATTTGGCATTTGTCTTTTGTTTATTTAATGTTTATTATTTATTTTTTTAAGTATAGCAGGTATAACACAATAAATTCCGATTTCAAACTTTGTACAAAAATTAGAAAAATTCTTCTTATTTTCACCAAAACTTCAAACTTTTTAATCAGAATTTTGGTACGCAATTTTGTAGACCATTTAATTCTAGTATAATGAAGTGCAAGTTTCAAGCTGCTATAAAATCCCATTAAGTTTTTTTTTTACTGAACATACTTTTGTATAAAAAAAACGTGAAACACCTTCAACCAAAAAATATGCATTTTTGAGAGCTGTCTGAAAATGGTTTTTGATGTTGGCTGTTGTCTGCCGCTTCACGTGAACATATGAAAAGAAATTCCAAATAATCGGCAAAAAAAGGCCGATGCCGATGCTCAATTTTGTGCCGATACTAGCCGATGCCGATGCCGTAGACGATTAATCGGTCGGACTCTATCCGTAGGTATGTATATTGAAAAAACCGTATAAACTTATAATTGTGTAAACCTTATAAATGAACTGTCAAAATTTGTATGGAAACTCGTTTACACATTTCTGATAAATTTATCCAGCGATTTCACTGAATAAACTTGATAAACTGAAGACAATGCAACTCTGTCGCAACTCTAGCTATGTTTTCTTAGGCAATAATCGGGATCCGCATACAAATTTTGCACGCAAATTCAACAACGATATGATCCTGATAGAGATCTGGTTCAATTATTATCCCGTCTGTTTGTTTTGTTTCACTGATAATTCGCAAAGTTTGGTAGCCGTGACAAATGAATTCATACACAAACAGACATTCTGCCATTGTTTCTTATAACTTGCTTCAAATAAATAGCCTTTATGTTATATGTACATTTATTTAAATAGATATCTCGTAAATATAATTTTTTCCAATTTAGTGAGGTAGTTTCTATAATTTCTTTATCCCCGTGCTAGTAGTATAAAGTTAGTGACACTGCGCTTTATAACCAAAGAAAACACGCCTATTGTCGCATGTGTAAACGAAAAGAGAGTGTGGGTCGTTCATGTAACACAGTGCATAAACTTATAAGATTATCTGCTTGATAAAGTTATCGGTTTAGATGAATACCACTATTATAAACCGTATCAACGTATAATTATGTAAACTTAAATCAACTGCCAAATTTTTACGGAAACTCGTTTACACATCCAATATATAAAAATCTCGTGTCACGGTGTTAGTGGTCGAACTCCTTCTAAACGCCTTGACCGATCTTTATAAAATTTTATGTCCATATATGGTAGGTATGAGAATCGGATGTAAAGTATATTTCATACCGCTAGGTGCAGGGGGCGTGGCACCTCCGATACAAACCGAATTTTTCACAGTGCATATCTCTGAAAGTGTTCATGGTAGAGTACTCGAACATCGTATGATATATGAAAACAAGCGCATACTCATGGAGAAAAATGTAGGTTATTGGAAAAGGGGGCATGGCACCTCCCATACAAATCGAATTTTTCAAACTGCATATGTCTGGAAGTGTTCGTGGTATAGTACTGAAACTTGATATGTATAAGATATATAAAATCAGTCGCATAGTCATGAAGAAGAATTTGGGCTATTGGAAAAAGGGGCGCGGCACCTCCCATAAAAACCGAAATTTTCACACTGCATATCACTGGAAGTGTTCATGGTAGAGTACTCGAATATGGTATAGAGATATATGAAATCAATCATATAGTCATGGAAAAATTGCAGCTATTGGAAAAAGAGCCGTGGCACCTCCCACAAAAACCGAATTTTTCATACTGCATATCTTCGGAAGTGTTCATGGCAGAGTACTGGAACTTGGTATGCACAAGATATATAAAATCAATGGCATAGTCATGAAGAAAAATTGGGCTGTTGCAAAAAGGGGCGTGGCACCTCCCATACAAACCGAATTTTTCACACTGCATATCTCTGGAAGTGTTCATGGTAGAGTACTCGAATATGGTATAGAGATATATGAAATCAATCACATAATCATGGAAAAATTGGAGCTATTGGAAAAAGAGGCGTGCCGAACTTTTCATACTGTATATCTTCGGAAGTGTTCATGGCAGAGTACTCGAACATGGTATGGAGATATATGAAATCAATCACATAATCATGGAAAAATTGGAGCTATTGGAAAAAGAGGCGTGCCGAACTTTTCATACTGTATATCTTCGGAAGTGTTCATGGCAGAGTACTCGAACATGGTATGGAGATATATGAAATCAATCACATAATCATGGAAAAATTGGAGCTATTGGAAAAAGAGGCGTGCCGAACTTTTCATACTGTATATCTTCGGAAGTGTTCATGGCAGAGTACTCGAACATGGTATGGAGATATATGAAATCAATCCCATACTCTTAGAGAAAATTGGGGCTATTTTACAAGGGAGGGTGGCGCCTTTCAAACGCACTGAAGCTATTACTTATCTTTGTATGCATATACACTTTTGCTAGGTTATTTAAGATGGCAATGGAAATATGCCTTCTGACAACCACCAAACCGTAATATTAGAAGATAAATACCTCACTGAAAATCATGAACGTGAACTGCATAAATAATAATAATAATAATAACTTCAATACAAAAAAAAAAAAAACAAAAGTAGAGGAAATTGAGAGAGCAAATTGAAGGTTCCTTTGAATGGGAAGTTGCAAATTTTTACTGGACAAATTTTATCTAGCAACAAGAAAAACAGCTGATCGCAGGTCGCTGGTGCAATTCACACTAATTACGAAGATGTTATGGGGTTTTCATCGTCGAAATTTACTAAATAAACCAATTTAAATTATAATAGGATATGAAATACTGTTATTAGAAAAATTTTGCAAATAAACAAATTAACCAGCTGTTCATGAAACTTCGCGCTCACGTACATTTTAGGTATTCTCTCTTCGAAAGCAAATTATCCGAAATTAGCCCCCTATTGTAACAAAGTGATTTCTACTACAAAAATTAGATTTTAAGTGCTAAAGAAATGCACAAACATTTCAATAACATCCGTTAGTGTATTCTCCAGTTAAAAAATATCCATTATATTGCAAATAACATAGTTTCCAGGAGTCGCTCTCATTGAGAGAACTATCTATCTAAAAAGTAAGAAAACGCAAACTTTGCCAGCAGTTACTAGTTTTATGAAATTTTAATTAAAATTTTTATTTTGGCAATTTTAACTTTACAATTCCAAAAGTTAATTCCTTTGCTTTTGTAAAATGCAAGAAGCAGCATATAAGAGCCGTTTTTCTTGATGGAAAATTGTTACAAGTAAGAATTTATCCAGTAAAACCTTGCAACGTCCTCTCAAAGTTTTCCTCTCTCAACTCCTTCTGATGATAATTTGTAAGAATTGTTACGAACTATCATAAAATAGTACGTAAACATACAAAGCTTATATTTTATGACAATCAATCAATTCAGCCAAGCTACTCGTTGCCCTTTTCTATCATAAGTTATTGTCGCTAACTTGCTTTCATCATGTCGCCACTTTTCTATAAATGCACTGGAATAGCTATCCGCCAGTTAAAAGGTGATTGAAAAACTCGAAGCCTGTATTGAGTAAAATAAACAGTCGAATAATGTTGTTTATTAGTTAGCTATCTGAAATTTTATCTGAAAATGTAAAAACCGGTCCTTAATAAGGGGAAAATGCAGATGTACTTTTGTTTTTGCTTATTCAACTTTCAATTCGTTTGAACAGTTGATGGTTTGACACCAGCCCTGCCAGATGTAACGGATTCAACGTACGGATTTTTAGCTTTCCGTCAAGACGTACGGATTTTTGGAGCTTTTTTTTATTCATACTGTAAAAATTTGCCTGTTTTACACATATCTCATAGCTTTCCTATAGTTCCTGAACCCTCCATTGTTTACTAAAAATACGTTATTTTAATTTTATCTGAAAATGTAAAAACCGGTCCTTAATAAGGGGAAAATGCAGATGTACTTTTGTTTTTGCTTATTCAACTTTCAATTCGTTTGAACAGTTGATGGTTTGACACCAGCCCTGCCAGATGTAACGGATTCAACGTACGGATTTTTAGCTTTCCGTCAAGATGTACGGATTTTTGGAGTTTTTTTTTATTCATACTGTAAAAATTTGCCTGTTTTACACATATCTCATAGCTTTCCTATAGTTCCTGAACCCTCCATTGTTTACTAAAAATACGTTATTTAAATTTTATCTGAAAATGTAAAAACCGGTCCTTAATAAGGGGAAAATGCAGATGTACTTTTGTTTTTGCTTATTCAACTTTCAATTCGTTTGAACAGTTGATGGTTTGACACCAGCCCTGCCAGATGTAACGGATTCAACGTACGGATTTTTAGCTTTCCGTCAAGACGTACGGATTTTTGGAGCTTTTTTTTATTCATACTGTAAAAATTTGCCTGTTTTACACATATCTCATAGCTTTCCTATAGTTCCTGAACCCTCCATTGTTTACTAAAAATACGTTATTTTCGTACTTGAGGGACTTATCTATTAACGGCTTGACTATTTTTCACCCTATTTAAAAAATCAAACATGAGAAGAGGATTTATAGGCCATTAAAATTATGTATAACAATTTATTGGTAGACTGCGATATTTGGGAGTTTTGTCGCATACTTAAAATTATCCAAAATACCCAAATTTTCTTTATTTTTTCAACAATAACCATCGCTTCAAAGATTATACTGCTACTTGGTAGGGTCGACAACTTACCTAAAAAGTTACATGTACATAAACTAAGAACACACTGCTTGTTAAAAAGTTCTAGTCTAGTCAGAAAAATAATAACGTTGTATGTAAAGCAATCAATAAATAGGACTAGTGGAAATATGTGTTGATTTATTTGATTATATTAAAAGTACGATTCCTGTGTTCACCTAAGTACAAACTATTTTTTTTTTGCTCGCCAAACAAATTTGGGCGTTAAAATTTTGAACGGATTTTTCACCCACCACTTTTGGTCTGTGTACGGATTTTAGACTCTAAATTCTAAAAATTCTCTGGGTAAAATCTTTCAATTTCTGACAAAGAGAGGATCGATATTACTCTCCCATTTCCCCCTACTTTGCTAGAGAACCGAGTACGGGAACGCTTTCTGGTAAATTCCTGTAAATTCTTGCAATTTCTTGCGATTTACAGATGATCTAGTTCACTCTCGATTCAACAGATGATATAGTTCGCTTTACTTCCCTTTTTCTACAGTTCCGAACCACTTCTAAAATCGACTGACGAAAAGGGTAACATGATGTTTTCAAACAGAGTCTGTTTGCTTTTCCCATGTTTGCGGATTGTTAATTATTTGCAAAGAAATACTTTTTCGATCTGAAATCAAATTTGGTTGAATGAATGTAATTCAAATTGAGCACTTGAAAGCATATTTACATACCTTTGGCTTTAACTGAGTTTTCAGAGGTGATTGCTGGTATTGGTTAGATTCTAGAATGTCCCGAGATGTTAAAAGATTAACACAAATTATTGTTTCGTATTAGCAAACTATGAAAATGCATATTCGAAGTACAGAATGAAACCGTTTTTGATCGAAAACGCCGCCAGCAAATATCCATTTAAAGTAAGCGATGGGCATCACTTTTTCGATAGTTCCGAACTAGTTCTAAATTCGTCATCTTAGATATATGTAGATTTCCCATCAAAAGTTGTTTATTATTTTTAGTGACTATTTTGAACTTAGCAGAATTGCGTATCACTGAACCGAAATGGTTAAAAATAAAATAGATTGTTCGATCTTTTAGAAAACAATGAATTTCCAATTGCTCTTGCTTCTTGCATTAAAATATAATTTTTTATAAAAAGTGGACTTAGCAGAAACTTTTCACTCTTAGTTAGCGATATGTATGTAGTTTTAAAAAGCAGAATAAAACAGTTTTTTGAAAGTACCACATTTCGCTGCTTTTGGCCTGGTAGGGATACAGTTACTATCGGAGGGGTTCATTTTTGGATATAAAAAGATCTAGTACGAAACTAGAAATTTTGTTCACCGGTTCGGGGTTTGCCTGCAGGGTACATATCTATATTTATTCACATACTCATATAATAATGTCCACAAATGCGTATAAATACATATGTATGTATATGTACTACATTTATACATATGCATATACATATGTATGAAATGTTTTGTTTATGGTTCTTTGTAAGGTTTTCAGATTCGTTGCGAAACTCACCGAATAAATTTATTGTATTACATTCTCCTCCAATAGCTGTGAAAATCTCCTTTAGTCTTTGCACGTTTTAATATATATAGAGCGATTTGTTGTTTTAATACTTCCATTTATATATACATACATACATATGTGGCTATGTTTTTTTAACTAATTAAATATAGTTTAGAAGAGTTCGCAGCAAAAAATTGTGTTTTTTTACGATTATTTATACTTGTAAATAGTATTTATTCGCATGATTGTACTTTTTAACTAAATATACATGCGTACATAAGTATGTGTACTCCTTCTGTTCAGTTTATATACAAAATTGCGTATTTACAATTTCTGTACTGCATGTGATTGTCTTAAATGCGATGAGATTAGTAAAACTGGACGTTTCTGCTACATAAAACCGTTTGACTTAGGCACACCGTGTTCTTCAGCGTTTGCCGTAAGAATAATGACTGATTTGCTTTTTTGAAAAGCATTGGCATTTGTGCTAATGTTGCTCCGACTATTGTGGACTTAATGGTATGTATTTGTATGAGTATAAGCAAGTAAGTATACCCAGTAGAAATGTTATGCATACGACATCGCTGTTGGTGGCATGAGCTTGCTGCTGTGTATACATGCCAGTATAAATGAACCTTCATTTCCATTTAACACGCGTGGTTTCCTAGAGCGTATGCGTATTCTAACCATACACTTGTACTACTGCTGTATGCATATGGCTGTATTAATGTTTCAAACATACAAAAATGCATTAATGGAATGGAACAGTATTAAAGCATCCTTACACGATATGTATCTCCATATGTAAATGCTACCTTTCTGATATTAATATCGTGTAAAAGCCCGTTAGTGCTGAAAATAGTATCGCACAACACGTCCGTTCACTAAAATTTTTGTACAAGACTGAAAATATTACAAAAATTCCACTTCAAATTTATCAAGTAATGTACTTAAAACAACAACAACGTACGTTCGCTTGCAGTTCGCTAGACTTTGAATTTATTTGTGGAAATTCATGACTACGCATGAATTTTTCACACTAAATCACTCATATGCAAGCATTCTTCATGAATGCATACAACCGATTTTTACTGGGTAAGTTAGTATATGAATGTATGAACAAGTTCAGGGAGTGTGACTATCCATACTTAGTATGTATGTACATATGTATGTATGTACTAGGGATGTTGCGAATGTGGAATTTTAGCCATCCGTGGATGCGAATGCGGATGCGGAGGTATAAAAGCTAACATCCGCGGATGCGGATGCGAATGCGGATGTCATGTATTTTAAGAATTAACTTAGGTGGGTAAATTAGGTGATTTAGGTAAATAAAAAATGGAAAGGTCAATAATTTTTAATCATCTGCCTTATCCTGAGTTTTGCCCGAAAAAAAAATCACCCCAAAATTTGTACTCCGCCCATAGTAAATATGTACACGAAAACCAAAAGTGAAAAGTGAACCGGTTCGGGGAAAATTAAACTCATGATAAGACTGAATGTTTTTTTAGTACTTGAATTTAAAAATTGGAACATTGTAATAAAAACTTGTTGAAGGGTCGTAAATCAAACCTGCACCACTATATCGTCGCTCGAATAAAGAAACAGTGTAAATGCCACATACTCTATTATTCGATAATTGCACCATTGGATAAACAATCCTTTAATCTATTAGAAAAATCTTTAGTTTTCTTAAATATCTAATTCTTAAATATTTATTACCGAAAAACTAAATTGTATTTGTATGGTTTGTAATGGTTTATAAAAACTTCCAATTAGTTTTTCTCAAAACTATACTTTTCAGGTTACACTATTTCATTATTCCACCGACGATATAACTACTCGTTCGAGGCGACAAACTTGAAAAACTTTAAACTTGGCAAAATTGTAAATTCTTTTCGATTGACACTGCACCAGTTGAGAGGACTTTCAGTTATATTTATTTATTTTTATTGCGGTGCAATAATTACCTTTTGAGAACTTCATCGGGGCTGCAAATGTCGGATGTATCCTTCTGACTTTCATCATCTTCACAATCTAGCATCATGGCAGAATCGTTGTTTAAACACCGTTTTTTCGAAAGAATTCTTCATTTTCATTCTTTTGGTTGTTTCGGAATTTGTCACGTCATCAGCGTTTTTCGATTTTAGTTTTTGTAACTCATTTTTAATGCTTTCTTCTGTGACTGGTTAGATATACTTTTTATCAGTGCACTTGCACAATATTCCAAGGACCGAAATTAACAGTTATTTTTTTCAGAGTTAAATTTGGCCTAATAGTTTTTATTCCGAAATAAACGTCCTATCCGTGTAATAAAGAAACCGCTTATCCAAATTTAACAAATTTGGTATCATATGAAAGAGGACTGAAATAGCTTTTAAACAAAGATAACGAATGAAGGTTACCACCTCTATTTATATCTTTTTATAACTTAATACTAACGAAATTCATGTAAATACATACCTGACCCAATGTTTGTTCTATGGTAATTAATTAATATTTTTATTTAAAATATTTTTCAATGTGTGGCTTTCCTCTTTTAGACATTTCAGCTTTAAAGCAATTTAAGTCCTCTTTCATTGGATACCAAACTTGCTTAATTTGGATAAGTGATTTGTTCATTATCCGGAACGTTCAAGGCATATCAAACAGGTAGTAGCATTCGAGCAAAAACAATATTTGCGTGTATTTTGTTGTTGCTTCTGGTATCGAAAGTGTCAAAAACTGTTCTGATTTGTTTCTTCTAAATCAAAGCGCGCCATGTGAAATAAACAAAAAATATAAAAAAAATCGAAATTGGTAAAAAAATAAAAATTTTTGCACCTTTCTTTCTTAGTAAATTTGTTTGCTTCTCCTTTGCAAGGCTCAGTAATCAGCGGTTGTGCTGCTGAGTTGGGCGAATGTTCCAAAAGCTGTTATTCAATCACTTGTTTTGTATGGAGAAAGGTTTCACATGCAAATATATTTTAACAATTTAGAATTTTTGTGATAAAAAATTTGAAAAATTGTACGTTTTCGAGACCAAATTTGAAAAAATAAAAATAAAAATCAAATCAGCTACTCTTCTGATACTACCCGTTCAATGTGCCTTGGGAAAGTACTTTTATTTCGGAATAAAAAATATTTGGCCAAGTTTTACTCGTAAAAAAAATAACTGCAATTTTCTGTCCCTTCAATATTCGCATTCGCAAAAGATCCGCATTGATTTTTGCGAATGCGAAAGCGAATGCGAATGTTAAAACTAATGCGGAAGCTCCGCGGTTGCGAATGCGAATGCGAATATTCGCAACAACCCTGGTATGTACATATGTATGTATATGTCTGGCGTAGCTGTGTCGTGCTTAGCTCACCGTTGCTCTGATGAAACGAAAAATATATGTGTTAAGAGCGAAAAACCCGATTTTGTTCTCGTCGATGAAAAAAGAAAAGAAATGGCTAAAAAGGGAGCATGAAAATCTACAAACATGTAAACATAGATTCATTGACTGGCGAAAAACCGTTGTCCAATGGAAGGGAATACATACTGCCAAATTAACAGCGAACCACGATCCAGAAAATAAAGGTCGCGCCATTCGCGGACCGCTAACCCTCTCTTCGTCGATTTGACAGCATCCACCCAATCGCTGACGTCATAAAATACTTTTGTTTACATTCACTGTTGCCAACTTAATGCTTTTCGCACCAAATTTAGTGGGTATTCAAAACGCGAAAGCTTTTGAGTTTGATGCTTGTTGCGTTTTTGGTGCTTTTGTTTTTAGTTTGAAGACACCAAATTAGAAAATCTTAAAAAAATGGAAGCAAAATTTATAAAAATCGTAAGTCTGGTAAGCAACTTTACAAAAATTTAAACAAAATCATGGTACAGTGACAATCATAAGCGACAACAAAATATGTGGCAGCACCTTCAATCATGCCAGAAGAAATCGACCGTCGGTCAAGAAACATTGATTTTATTAATTTGAATCGGCATCGTTACAATAAAATTGTGTATGCATATAAAGTCTATAAAATACATCAATAAAAATTTCGTGCTTTTTCAAATTCAAAACTATATTTCGTTACGCTTTGAATGTCATATCGTTGTTTTTTTTTTGAATGTTCGTTAATAACAAATTTTAATTTGCATTTGAATTTTTGTAGTGTTGTGCGGTTTATGCGTTGTTTTTTATGTGGTGTTAAATATAAGGCAGATACCACTAATTTTTTAACGTGCCTCAATGTCCTTCGCGTAAGGAACGTTGCGAAAGCAGCTGTGGGCAGAGCTGCAGTGAAATGCCTTGCTGTGCGTTAAACATTTTAAAGAAGTAGATTCCACAAATACACCGGGAGGTACAGGAGAGGCACGTTTGAAGCCAAGTGCTGTTCCTATGACCCTTATGCCGAAAAGTCCCTCCAACAACACTGCAACTCATAAAACAAAAACAGAAAACAACATACACGTTTTATCAAATTTTAACTAAAGAAAATAAATAAATAAGAATAAACTTCAGATATACTTATAAACGTCAACCAGTGAAATGTATTTTTTTATTTTTCCTTACACACGCTCATTTTTATTTTTACTCTCCCGAAAACTTTGACTTTTGTAGGTTTGACGTCAAATTGGCTTCTACCTGTTTTATTGTACCATGGCCGCACAGTGTGATTTTTGAACACTGCATGCGAATTAATCGTAGCGCTTTCGACAGAAGCAGCATTTTGATACGAAACAAAATGGTCTTGAAAGCTAAAGTAAATCCCTTTCCATTATGGCCATTGAGCCACAATTATCCCTTGACCTTAAAAAAATTGGTCAAAAGTTGTGTTCCAAAACAAAAAATTGATATATTTTTTATTACAGTAGTATTATAGATTGCATTGTTTTCTATTTGCATGCAGCTGTGCATCCTTCACTCAATTTTATATCCCTCAAACAGTACGTGCAATTCAAGACCTTTAATTTGAGCCAAGGTAGAAGCCTCTAGGCCCTCTGAGAGTCAAGTTATATCTAACAATTTTAAACCAAACAAATTAGAAAAAAATTGCGTAAAATGTCGAATGAAATTTCGAAGTTTGACTTTAGCTCTCAAAGGGCCTATAGACTTCTTGGCTTAAATTAAAGGTCTTGAATAGCACTAAAACTGACTTGTTGTTCGAGGGATATAAAATTGTGTGAAGGCTGCACAGTTGAATGCAAATCATAAAAAATTCAATATAACAAATTGAGGGGTTGAACTTTTTTTCATTTTTTGGAATCGTGTTTCTCCTCTCCAAATCAATAATATTAGCATAATAAAAAATACAAAAAATGTTTTTTTATACCCGCGCGCACTTGTGCACAAGGGTATTATAACTTTGTTCGCATAACGGTTGTTTGTAACAGGCAAAACGAATCGAGATAGATATAGACAAGTGTATACATAAATGATCGGAATGAAAAAAGAAATCGATTAAGCTATGTCTGTCCTTCTGCCTGTCCGTATACACGATAACTCGAGAAAAAATTGAGATGTGTCCACGAAATTTGGTAGGTAAGTTTCCCTTTATCCAAGGTAGGTTGGGATTGAAAAGGGGCGACATCGGACAATAACCACGCCCACCTCCCATATAACGGTATTGTCGAAATATGCAAAAACTACGATATTTCCGTCCGTTTGTCGGCCGCTGTGGTGTAGTGGTAAGCAGTGTGCGCTTTCACGCATCAGCACCTTGGTTCAAGCCCTGGTCAAAGCAACATCGCAAAATAATATAGAAAAACGTTTTTTCTTATCAGCGGTCGTCCCTCGGCAGACAATGGCCAACCTTCGAGTATGTTTCTGCGATGAAAAACAGCTTCTCATAAAAATACGATCGCAATATAAATAGGGGTCGTCTGTTCACAATATTTTCTGCTTCTATTAGGACACTCCG